GAGAGAGAGAGAGAGAGAGAGAGAGAGAGAGAGAGAGAGAGAGAGAGAGAGAGAGAGAGAGAGAGAGAGTGACAAAGAACATAAAAAGAGGAATGACAAACTTCACAGGGTTCTCAATACTTACCTCTGGAGCAGACTACTGTAGGATGACACGAGAGGGAGGTCAGTGTTTTGGTTGCAGGAGATATGAGTCGAGGAGCCGCCGTTGCCTATGGTAAGTGGCCACCCCTACTACGACCAGACTGGACCGGTTCGGGTGTGGACTCCAATTCTCGCAGTTGCAGTTGCATATCGAATGGCACGGCATAGACAGATGCTACAGGCTACGTGGCTTCTACGTGCTAGGAAGGCACACCGACAGCAATTGTATAGACATTGCCGTTCCAGACCATGTCGAATATTGGACATGACATGTCAGGCCGCACATGCGTGCAATGTTGACTGTCATCATATGTATGAAAGCAAAACGTGCACCGACTATGCCCTCGTAATGCTCACGACACATGATGGGCACTATGTGTCATGTGAATGACATGCTAGCCGAATCTCAGGTAGGCCATCAGTCATCATGAACAATGCAAGAAAGGAGACTCTTACAAAGTATACATGGGTGAAAGTGCAAATCAAATTTCTAATGTTTAACTGCATGCTGCAGTCATCTCTCTCGCACAGCCATGGCTCAGGAGCACAGCCTAAACCACCAGTACTTCCTAAAGTCGTGCCCATATACAAGCCACGATTTTAGGAAACGTACCAGTCACTACAGGAGCGCTCAAATTCAACCAACTTTTCGCGACCGATAGCTGGGCCAAGTACTGGTGGTTCAAAACACAATCCCTTGCCAAAAACACACCAGCCGGATAGGCAAAATTGCCAGCTTTTCTTGCTTGGCACAAAGGTATTTCCGCCTGTGCTGTCACAAATCCAAAGACTTCGGCTTTTCCAGTACTGTGACTCCATTCTTCTTGTTACCAGCACAGGCCTTCTTGTTACCAGTCTGGACTGGAATTTTCTCTGTTAGCACCATTCTCAGAGAGGATGCATACACAAGTCGCCCTGCGATGCCAATACTGGGATAAAGACAGGAGCATCCCCATCCAGGTTCAACATAGGAACACAGACCAAGCTAAGAACACAAAACAGGAAAAAAAAAAAAGAAAGACGCTGACAATCATGTCAATCACTCGCCAGGACCACTTAGGTTTGTAACTTCCCCACTTGTTGACCTTCTGAACCATAGCAGATACTTATAGTACTTTCCTGCATGTATAGAGTTCAAATGGTCAAATTCTGCACCTTCCAAGCCTCGTGTGCAAAAACCCTCCCCAATGTCTTACCTCATCCAGCGGATCATCATGAACTTGGGTCTGGTATCTCTGGTAAAGTTCGAACTCCTCTTGGATGAAAGTTGATCTGGCCATTGTCACCTGGAAACAAGAGGGCAAAGTTAATTCCAGCCCAAATTTAATCAATGTCCCTTCTGCTCCTCTCCCCTCCAACCCCTTCCGGCCCCCACTGAAAAAACAGACACACACAAATGCCAGGAACATCAGAAGTCTCTCACGAAGCTTCTCGAAAACAATCCTTTGACAACTCTCCTCACAACTCCTCACGATAGACTATTACCAAGCAGGCTACAAACAGAATGCAACAAGGTACACATGGCTGCATAGTCCAGATAGCCTCAGGCTCGACTTATATGCAAGCAGGCACTCCCAGGCTACAAGCCCTCCTTCCTCTTCCCTCCGCTTGGCCACCATCAACTGAGCTCTCATGGCAGGAGATTCTGCCATGAATACATTAGGCAGCAGAGGATACATGAGAGCTAAGCAAATAAGGAGGATACATGAGAGCTAAACAAATGAGGACGATACATGAGAGATAAACAAATAAGGCAAACACAAACATCATAAAGGGATAAAGTGAACGTTGTGCAGGCCACCAGGGCGGATGCAACTAACAACTAGCCGCCGTACAGCACACTGCAACATGGGACTCATGGCTGCAGAGCCCACATAGCCTCAGGCTCAACTGATATGGAGCGCACACTCCCAGGTTGCACAGCACTTACTTCCACTCACAGGCCGCACTGCTGTCCTTCCTTCACCCTCAACTTGGCCACCGTCAATTGAGCTCTCGTGGCAGGAGATTCTGCCACAAATACATCATACATGAGAGCTAAGCAAATAAGGCAAAGATCATGAAGGACAAAGAGAAGGTTGTGCAGGCCACCAAGGCATATGCAACTAACAACTAGCAGCTGTGCAGCACAGTCCGCGGCAGAGACAGAAAAATCTCTTGACCACATCAATGCCATGATCGCCAGCCACACACATGTAAACTTGCATGGATCCAGCTCCATTCATTTTCTGTTAAGCCAGACGGTTTGAGCTGCAAATCCCGAGACAAGCTAACACCTTGAGGCTGATAACTGACACTTTCTATTTGGACGAGAAAATGTGAGGTGATAACTGACACTTTCTTTTTGGACCAGCAAATGTCAGGCGTACCTCTTATTCCTATACACATGCACTCGTGCTTTCATGCAAAATCTAACATGGCACACCAAACCCCTCACCAATCCTCCCCCCCACCCCTTCTCCCACCCAACCCCTGCAGTTTCGCTCATGACAATCCTTTTCAACAACCTACTCGAGTGCAGATGCAAGCAGAAACTCTACGTAGTAAACACGACCAATTTTCAAAAATGCATCACTGGAGTTCAATTGCGCCGACTCGCCCATCTAACGATGGCATAGAGACAGTGTGCAGCCCTTGTCCCTTTGCATCGCTTTTCCTGACCCCTCAATCATGTATGTTTAGTCTGCCCTCCACTCGTCATCTGGCGGTTGCCTCCCGCCGACCATGAGGTGTGATCACATATCAATCTACCATACACATGATACACTGCAGCCCACAGAGCCATTCTCTGCATAATGACAGTCCAGTTCAGATTGCTAGCGGGTAATGTGAGGGTGGATTGAGGCTGGGGTGAGAGTGGAGTGAGGGGGGAGTAAGTCGTTGAGCATCACGGTGAGCAGAAGGGTGACTGCAAGTGGAATAGGGATACAGTAAGGGTGGAGCGAGTGTGGAGTGCACATTAACCTGAAGGGTCTTTACTCTGCCGCGTCCTGTGCAGCCTTGCACCGAGCCACCCTGCCTCCCACTTGCTTCTGCCATAGCAACATCCATCCCTGAAAACACGGGCCGCCAGTAGCGAATAGCATTTAGCTCGTGCATCCTTTTCGTTTTTTCTTTGACAAGAACTCCACCTGTATTACTCCACTGAAATTTGGGTTCAGCGTCCCTGGCCTCCTTAATCGGTCATTGTTTTGGAAAATTTTGACTGAACTTACAAAGCAAAATTCATAGAGTTTTTCAGTGTCCCTTGCCTCCTTAATCGGTCATTGTTTTGGGAGAATTTGCCTGAACTTAGAAAGCAAAATCCATAGAGCTACAAAAATGCAGACAAAATGTAGCAATGCCTTATGAAATGTAGATAATGCTTGATGAACTCTGAAAATGCCTGACATTATATTAAACACAGTTGACTTAGATAAGTTTATCGCCACAACGTTATGCTGACAAACAGGGCACTTGGCACTCGGCAAGCTTCCACGACTACTTAGATAAGTTTATTGCCACAACATTCTTATCTTTAGTAAAGCTGTTGAGGAGCACGTGCAACATGTTGACTTTGTGCTTGGTCTCCTACGACAGCACGAGTAAAAGATTTGGAAAAATGCGAGTTTGAATCCGCGGAAGGTTTAAATTCGGAAGATGTGAAGGTGGCCATCCTTAGAGACTGGCCACGACCTCAATCTGTGACAGAGGTAAGGTCCTCCTTGGGGACGACGGGGTATTATCGCAACTTTGTGAAGAACTATAGTTTATTTACCACCCCCTTGACGGACCTCACTCGCTTTTACACCACATGGGCGTGGACTGATGATTGCAAGAGAGCCTATCATAATGCTTCCAAATCCTGAGAAGCCCTTCATTGTCACAAACTTATATGGCGTAGGCACAGTTTTGGCTAAGCAGAATGAGAGCAAGTTGAGATATGGTTAATGAAAACTATATATTTCACCGAATCTATAGTGGACAGAGCCTTATATATAGCGAACCGATGGTACATACATGAAGCGACAGTGCACTTCAGGATTTACTTACTTTTTGGAACATTATACCTGCCCATAGTCTCAGGGTTTCGTTACCGAAACACACTTCGGGGTTTTCGGGATTTACTCAAACTTTTGGGAGTTGCATCCATTCGGTGTTTCGTTACCGAAACACACTTTTTGAGATTTGCTTAAGCCTTTTGGAACGATATCTTCGCCCATAGATTCAGTGTTTCATTACCGAAATACACTTCGGGGTTTTCGAGGTGCAAGGAATACGAGTGGGAACGATATACAGAAAACCAAGTTGCGAAGTCACACATATGTCCAGGTAGTCGTGTACAAGCAGAGAGCACGAAAGCACCGAGATCCCATCCAGTCGTGTACAAGCAAAGAGCACAAAAGCACCGAGATCCCATCCAAATAAGAGCAATACAATGAAGTAATGAGCCAATGTTCAAGCCCTCAAGGCCACACCAACACAGTATCCAAAGTCGCTCCTCTTTCTGGCGCCCAGCGCCCAGCCTACACTACCTGACTATCCTACCTACAGCAGCACTCTCGCAACAGGCTCACTTCAACTGTCGAAGACCAATGCACACGACGTCAGCACCATAGCCGACCTCTTCCTTGTACCAGGTACGTATCTCGCCTCCCCTCATCAGACCTTTTCCACCCACACTCACCTCCTTTACTGAAGACCACGGATCGCCCTCTTATCCCCTAGCGCCCTGCAGCCCAGCTATGGCTGCTAGCGCTCCACTGCCCTGCAGCGCCCCACTTCACCACACACGCGCCCGCACGCTCTAACGCAGCAGCACAGCAGCGTGACCGCATTGCCTGCACGGGCCAGAATCCCCAGGCCCTGGCTGCTCTTCTTCCTATGGCTGCTAGCGCTCCACTGCCCTGCAGCACCCCACTTCACCACACACGCGCCCGCACGCTCTCTGGCCTCAACACAGCACGCACGCTCTAACGCAGCAGCGCAGCAGCGTGACCGCATTGCCTGTGCAGGCCAGAATCCCCAGGCCCTGGCTGCTCTTCTTCCTATATGGAAGTGGCAGCCCCTGCGTTGCTGCATGTGGCCCGGCTGGAAGCTTCCAGTAGCTCTTGTTGGGCCCCATGCACACAGACCCGAGACTTCAGTTGAGGGCCTGGCCCTTTACAGTAGGGCACGGCCTCAGTCTCCAGACTTGGGCCGTTTGTTGCATTTGCACAGGACCCCGAGGAAGGTACATCGACAGTACTGCTTTTGCATAGGCCTATGACCACCTCAAGATGTATCGGCCCTGCTTCATGTGTTTGTGCCCAGGTGCAACTCCCAAGGCCTGGGCCAACTGAACGACGCAGCTTAGCGAGGCTCACGTGTCCACTCAACCAACTGACGTGCTGCAAGGGTCTGAATACCCACATATAAAAAATGTTGAATTCTGGCCTCTGATGAATATCCATGTCCCCCTTCACTTAGGGCGGGCACTCGGCTTGCTGGGGGCGTCTGCCCAGAACATCTGTATGTCTGATCGGGGCCCGATGAGGGCTCGTTCCTCGCATTCCATCCCCCTTAAGCTTCGAAAGTCCGCTGAGATGCTTCATGCTGGTGCCTTCCCCTTCAATTTCCTCTCATACTCGGCCACGATCTGAGGAGTTGTCTTGAGCAGTTCCTCCATTGTAAACCATCGATCTCCCTTAGGATCCGTATGATGCTTGAACCGTACTCTGTATTCTCTCGCAGGTTTAGGCGGCCTACCCCTGGCAGCTGGCTTGGGAACATGCATGTCTTTGTGCTCTAGGATATCGTGGACGTCCACGTGGCCATCCATGGTTGGGGGCAGCATAGATCTCCGTGATGGGAAATGTTTTGTCTCAGCGAAAGGTGCGAGCTTTGAGGCGGGAATCACATGGTAAGTGCGAAGGTGACTAGGGATATGAATCACGTATGAGGGACCGATACAAATCACGTATGAGGGAGCATCGAAATCATTACCCACAATGTCTAAGACTTCCCAGGGACCGAAATATTGAGGCATTAGTTTTCTAGAGATGCCAAACTCCTGTCCCAACTCACTAGCCTTGACCCAAACACGTTCCCCTACCTGAAATTTGGACTGTCAGCGGACCTTGTTCTCATAAGCAATCATGGCTTCCTGAGATTTCTTGATGTGTTCGACAGTCTACTGCAACAATTTCTCATATTGGACACCAAATTCAATGGTTCCAGGAGTTGCAACAGTTCGGTATTCAGGCAGGAGGAAGTCTAGAGCAGATCTAGGCTTCCATCCCAGATGCAGCTGATTAGGACTGACGTCGGTGGTGAGTCGGTGGTGTTGTGTACAGCATTGTTGTAAAGACTGGCGATGAGAGGTAGTTTCTCATCCCGGTCATCCTAGATGGACTTGATGTAGTGCCTCAGCAGATGCTGCATCACACGGTTCATTTGTTCAGCCTGCCCATTTGTTCAGCTACCTTCTTCCACATCTCACTAGTAAACCGGACATCTCTATTACTAACAATGGTCTTTGGCAATCCAAAGTCACGCACCCAATTGTCCATGAACAACTTGATGACATGCTTAGTCCTGGCAGTTTCCGGCATGGCGATTAGTCTATCGTACTTTGTGAACCTATCCACTATGACGAAGATATGCCTTTTGCTATTCTTGCTGGTCATGAGGGTATCCATGAAATCCATGGAAACACTGTGTCCTAGACCAGCAGGAATGGGTAGGGGCTTCAATAACCCAAGCGGGGCTCGAGTCCGCGGCTTGTCCTGCTCACTGACTTGGCAAGTCTGCACATATTTCTTTGCAACGTCCAGCATGTTAGGCCACGAAACTCGTTGTACTAAGTTAGCAGAAGTCTTCTTGCCGCTGAAATATCTCGTAGCGTCATGGCACTCACCTAAAAGTAAACTACGCAAAATTTCTCTAGATGGAACAACTAACCTTTTGAATCCTGCCTTTTCAAGAAAGAGCAACCCATCCACCATCACAAACTCATCTGAGGTGGCCTTGTCCCAGGTGGACTTCGCCAATTTCTTAGATGGCGTTTTCTTGCTCATGTACTCGATCGGCCTCAATTTTTTCCCTTCCTGTTGAGCCAAGATTGCACCTATGTCGTGCCGGCTCGAGTCAGTGGTCACTACCAATGGCCTTTGAGGATCAGGGACCATGAGAACCTCATGATGTGTGAGGGCATGCTTCAATCTCTTGAAAGCAACCTCACATGCGTCTGTCCATTCCCATGGAGTATCAAGGCGCTTAGATCAGTCAAGGGAGATGTGATCGCACTGTAGTTTTGTACAAAATTGTGGTAATAACCACACATCCCCACGAAAGATCTAACCTCAGTCACAAACTAGGGTCGTGGCCAGTCCCTAATACTAGCCACCTTCGCATCTTCTGACATAATACCCTCCGCGGATACTTCATGCCCCAATTACAAGATTTTTGTGCGACCAAATTCGCATTTCTCTAAATTGATCTTATACTTATGTTGTCGGAGGACAAAAAGAACTTTGTCTACATGTTCGCCATGCTCCTCAACAGTTCTACCAAAGATAAGAATGTCGTCGAGGTACATGACGATAAACTTATCCAAGTAGTAAAGTAGTCATGGAATATCCTGTTCATGGCGTGCTGGAATGTACCCGACGCATTGCAAAGGCCGAAGGGCATCACCACAAACTCGTACTGACCGCCTGGTCTGAAATGCAGTTTTGTGCTGATCTTCCGGTCTAATGGCAATCTGATGGTAGTCGATGCGTGGTAGGGGCTCTGCGTTTTTAACGGTGATGGCATCGAGTCCCCTATAACCAATGCACATCCTTAGCAATCCCGCCTTCTTTGGTACAAATAGGACTGGTGAGCCGAAGGGGGAGATGGTAAGCCGTATCCAACCCTTTTCTGTGAGCTCTTTCAGTTGCCGACGAAGCTCGTCCAACTCAGTGAGCCATCCTATAGATTCCCCCTGTAGGTATCTTGCTCCCAAGGATGATCTCTATGGCATGGACAACCTCCCTGTCTACGACACCTGTGGGCTCAGAGGGGGTGATTTAACGGCCTCCCCTTTTGCAGA